TGTGTGTATGGATTGCGCTAACAGTTGTATGAGCCCCTAATAAAATGTTAAAAAAAAAAAGTCTGGGAAAGTAAGCTGTTTATTAGAGCATTTACAAAGAAATTTTGTTCAGTCAGGTTTCTGACATATAGTTTCACTGATTTATTTGAACTAAACAAAGGTGTTGTTAAATAACTTAGTATAATACATGGGAAAGATAATACCTGCCTAAAACCACCATTACAAGAATGAGCTAAAGCACTAACACTACAAACAGGAACTGCGGTAGATTACACAATTGCTGGCTGTCTCTCTCTCTCACTCACTGCCATGGAGTCAACGGTCACTCAGTGAGCCCTGCGGTGTTCTGAGACTAACTGTTGACAAGAGGGGAAAGCCCAGTAATTCTCACTCAGAGCTGCGGGTGGTTTCAAACTGCCGACCACACAGATCGCAGCCCAATGCGTAACCACTACGTCACCAGGTCTCCATGCTGACTGTCTGGTTCTGCACTACATTCTATACAGGATTCAGGGGCTTCCAATCTCAGGTTGCTTCAACCCCTAAATATTCAATCTTTGCTGACCAAGTCCGTAGAATCTCAAAGTAGGGTATCAGCAGTGCCTCAGCCGAAACTTAAGAGCGAGTTGTTCAGCATCCTTCCTTCTGTGGGAAACTGATCTCTTCCAGCCTCCCTCCTCTAGAATAGACTTGATGGGTCTTGTGAAAATCAAGCTTCCTCCCTCCCTTCCTTCCATCACCCTGGGGGCACTCATTTAATCACACCACCACCTCCATCCACCTCCACCACCACCACCTCTACCTCCATCACTTCCACCACCACCTCCTCCTCCACCTCCACCACGCAGCCAGCCAGAACCATTGGTCCATAGACCTAAGCTGGGCAGATCCCTTTTCTTGGGATTTAGATTGACTGAAAGGGGGAGAAAGCAGCATCTCTTTCTTTAAGATTATTAGATGGGGATAACAAACCCAGGGCTACCCCACCAATAACTAAAGCCACCAGTCGTGGAAATGAAGTCAACACAGAACATGCAACGATTAGAGAGGCGGGGAGAGGGTCCTAAGGGAACGTGGCATCCGTTTCATTCCTCAGTGTCCCTGTCCCTGTCCCACAGCTCCTCTGCTCACCCGGTATTCCTCCCACAGCGGTTTTAACCATTCTGAACTGAATTTCTTTAACTAGTTATAAACAGAATCCTAAATAAGGAATTATAAAAAGGAATATATAAGGAGAAATAAAAAGCATGCAAGCAAATCAAGAAAAACCAAAGTAATCGAAAAAGCCTTCATGGCAAAGGATAGACTATTTGGGGAAAAAATATTTTGGCATTTACCACCCCCCCACAATAACTAAACTCCAAACCAAAGCAAAACCAAACTGGGTTTCTTTTCAGAAATAAAGTGTTTTATAAGCAAATACTTTTGTTTGTTGAAATAGTAGGTTTGATCCATACACTGTGGTGTCTGGAGACGATGCCCAAGATGCCAGATACTTGCAACTTAAGCCAGTAATACTTAAAACACTGCATTCAGAGCCAATGCTTCACAGCTCTCAGCTTCTATGGTTTCCTTTGTTGTACTTTTCTCTATAAGCTATTAAAAAAATGAAATACTGTACAGAGAAGCACGGTGATTACAGTGAGAGGTCAGGAAAAAGGCCAGGAAGATCTGAATCAATCAGCCAGCAAGCAGCTGTGCCAGCTTGGCAAGCTTATTGAGAGTGTGCTCATCTGTAACCCTGATAACAGACCACACCTCGTAGAGCTACTGTGAGGACCAAATGCGTTATTATATGTAAGGTGCTCATAATAGTGCTGAGCATATAGTACGTTCTCAATAAAGTAGGTAATCTCAAAGTTTAGACCAGCTAAATAAATGCCCCGCAACTTGTCTTGGCTGCATATGGTCAGTCTGCCAACTGTTGGCTGTGCTGCTCTAAGACAAGTCTTTCTTTACTAGCCCTCCTCTTCCACTGTCTGCGTTAGCGAGCTTCTGTGTGCTCACTAACAGCATGTTGGGCATTTCTCCTCCACCAGAGTCCACTTCTTGGCAGCAGAAGGAACAATCTCCAGATGTAGCTTTCATTAGTGTATCCCCAGTCAACCTCATACCAAAATACAAACCACTGCCGTCGTTCGAACCAATTCTGACTCACAGTGACCCTACACAGGGACTCCGAGGCTGTTTACAGGATCAGAGAACCTCACCTTTCTCCTTCAGAGTGGCTAGAGGGTTTGAACTGCTGGCCTTATGGGTAGCAGTCCAATGCTTACCAACCATTCTTTAAAATCTCTTCTTAACGGTCAAGTTTTATAAAGAAATCCTTGGCACATCCATGTCAGCAGTTTTCCAACCTCGAGGAGCCCCCCCTCTGCTGAGCCCATCACTCTTTTTCTTAATCAGCACTCTTCTCCTTAAATCCCTTCGTGTGCGTCTCTATCTTCTTTATCATGATTCTTTTATCAAGGTTTGCAACTCTTTTGACCCTCCGTCCTAGCCCTTGCCTAGGAAGTTATTTCATTAGGCATCTCCATGCTTAACGCATCTGGAGAAAAGCATACGGGCAGATGTACTGTGTTCAATTTACGTTCATGCCCTCCAACTTCAAAGAAGCTTTCCACACAGTGCAGTCAGCACATGGACTCTTCTTCTCCACGAAGCATGCCTTGCCCTCCGAAATGTCTATTTTGTGCCTACTTCTTTCTTCCTCAAACTTCCGAATCTTGTATCCAATCTCTCTCCTCATCAACAGTTAACAGCCTTGCGTCATTAAGCTATTAGGCTAGAACTCCTCATCCTTTCAGCTCCCAATCAATAAAACGTAAGCATGCACCCATCTGCTGCTCCAGATTACGGTTATATTAACCACTGCCCAGGAGAATACCTTCTGATTTGGTCTTGAAGTCATCAACTTACTGCTTTCCACCACCAACAAATTTAACCATATCACACCCATCTTAGCCCAGTGTGTTACATTGGAAGAAAGTGCCCTTTAATTTAAGCCATAGATCTATGTTCTGGATTTTATCTTAATTTGCTTTCTGTGTACTTCACTCTATCAATTTATCTCCCTCTCTCTCTTCCATAATGAATACTTTAAAAACAACATCTTTCCCCCTATCCCCTCTTTACTAATTTCTTTCACGTGTTTCTCAAACTAAAAAAAAAAGTTTCCTTTGACGTCATGCTGTCTTCTTACTCTGCTAGAAGTTCACCTAGCCTCTTCCTGAACTCACATCCATTCCTGATTCACGGCCACCCAGCTTCTGCTCAGCACTCAACGGCAGCGGCACTTTTAGCAACAAGTCTCCAAAATGGCAATCAGTGGAGCTTTCAGGAGTATGTTACTTCAACTCTCTGTGTCACTGCAAAGTGGTGACCACTGAAGGCCTCTTCTGCTTCCTGGGATAACACAGTTGGCCTCCCGACCACTCTGGCAGTGTAAGCTTCATCCCTTTAGTTTCGTAAATGGCTCTGATGAATGTATCAATAAGCAGTGAAAGGCAGGAAATAAGAAAAAAGTAAAACAAGAGACAAGAATACACTGGCCTGTGGTGAATCGAATGCTAACTGCAAGAATCAGATTTATGTAACCTAGTAGTTATCAAATCAAATTTTATGGGTTAAGAAATTTAAGTTTCTGTACAATCTGCTGCACACATTCCAAGACCAGATAACCTGGCCAGTCATGCCGCTAACCATGAAGGTTCAAAGGTAGAGATCCTGATATTACCACTCCTATTTGCCCAAAGTTTGCATAGGCCACAAACAGGCTCTCTTTAGTGTGTTCCCATTGTCACTGTGCTACATGTCTACAACCAACTGCTCTATTGCCATCCAATTTACTACCAAGCAAAATGCACCTTTAAAATCTACCAGCAAGTGGTATATATAAAGCATCTTTGTTTAAAAAAAATGTTAAAGTATGGTTTACTGACTATTTTAAATATTCTGTGTACTACTATGCATGCCAAAGTAAACTATTCATTTGTATACATGATTTATACATTTTATTCTCTAAGTGCAAGTTTCTCTAAAGACAAGCCAAGAAACTCCAAAAACCCAAATGCAGACTCACTGCCATGGAGTTGGTTCTGACTCAGAGCAGCCCACCGGACAGGACAGAGCTGTTCCCACGACTGTAACTCTTTACAGACAGAAAGTCTCATCTTTCTCCCACGGAGCCACAGGTGGTTTTGAAATTTTGGACCTTGCGGTGAATAGCCCAACGTGTAACCACTGCACCAACTAAAGTTGTCCCTGCATTCGTTCCTTACGAATTGTCTTCTAGCAGTATGTCATACATCTGATAAGATTTTGCCAAGAAATCAAAAGTCTAAGTTTTATTTGAACTGATTTTCAATGATAGGGGTAAAGTATTGACCCTGATGCTCCCAGCTCACAGAAGGAGTAAAAGGGCAAGTCAGAAAGTATGCTTTAAATCACAGACACTTTTCTTCAACAAAGATATCAGTGTGTGAACCACTGCTTCTGAAAATATTCTCCTGCCAGGTCTACACACTGCTGAAGATGGTGCTTCCACCTTGCTAGCATTTCCTCCCTGGAGACTCGACAGGCTTCTTGTCCCGGTTTCTGGACTTCAGCCACTGTTTCTTCTTCTACCGAGGCTGATGATCTTTCCCTCTCTTGGCTCATCTTGGGTTTTTAAATTAATGTTTTGTTGTTGTTATATGTGGGGCTGCATTCCTGTAAACTTTCTGCAAGACTTCAATGAAGTTCATTTAAGTGTTGTTAAACATTTGGTATTAGCCCTGACTTTAAAATACTTTTTACCCACATGGCAAAAAAAGCGGTTTTCTTTGAAGACAGCTCAATTGCCTTCAGCTACCCACCGATCACAGGCACGTTTAAACATGTTCTATTGGAAATAAACCTGTGCACATATGAACTAGAATCCTAGTAGCAATATGCTTTGATTTACCCTGGTATAAGGGAACCAGCTAATATTTCAAAGTGTCTTGGGCCCATGAAGAAGGTTATTTTGGGCAACCTTAAAAACTCTGGCATTAGACCCAAACAGGCAGTTAGACAGCAGAAGGAAAGTCAAGCAAGCAGAAAGAAAAAGGGTCTATAGTGTACGCATTTTTTCAAACAAAGATACTCTGATAACCGCAAAGAATAGTCTAGTTAAACAAAAAAGAAAAGAAAATCAAACTAAAAGAAAAGAATGTGCTAGATATTAGAAAATAACCTTAAGTAAGAGGAAGAGGTTGTTGAGACAGCTTAGCAGAGACAAAAGGCACTGAAGAACAGAGTCATCCATACTGCCACACTGTAAGATAAGGCAGATAAAAAGCCAATTAAACTATGCACAGAATAAAAAAATAATAATAATGTCGGAAAAATAAACTGGCTGGCTTGCCTGTCCATCAATGACAAAGAAGTGTCTTTCTCTTTAGATTAGAAACGTGTTTTAAACATATTATTAACATTATTCACCTTTAAATTTATCCTCCTTAATGGAAGCCACCCTGGTCTGTTTTCTTTATCATGCGATTTATTCTACAGATGATGTTAAAGTTAGTGTAAATAAATCAGCAAGATAAAAGTCATAAGGGAGACAGCGGCCTAAAAAGCGATGTAACACGTTTTGCATTGAATCCTTTATTCCCAGCAGAAGAATAACAGACTACTCCCCAACTGTGCTACGGACCTTAGGGCACTTCTTTCACAGGAATGACTAGTGCGCACAGACACTGTACCTGGTGCAAACCGTTGCTCTGCCGAAGCAGCACACTAAATGTCACCAGCTTACTTCTCATGCAAAGTTTACAGAGCCAATTATGCTTTGGTTTTCACTGATTATTGCATTATTTCACAAAGGTTAATTAACTTAAATTGTAGCAATGAAGCAACATCAAGTTTTAGTATGTTAAAAGGACACTCTACCACCTCACCTATTTCAAATTGTCCACATTTCCCATGTCAGAATGTGGCTGAGACCAGCTCTGTGACACTGACAAAGGCAACTGCTCTCGAAACGTATCGATTCTAATAAAGACAACACAGGGTCACTCAAGGCTGGACACTGTGGGAAATGTAGGTTTAGTTACACAAGGCGTCATTTCGCGTAACTTTGGAGGATAATAAAAACAAGCATGCCATTCTGGTATAGCTCAAGTTGCAAAATCATAAAATGTCCTATTTATAACAATAAAAGCTCCAAGTTATTTATTTTATCAATCATTTTATAACTTATAAAGAAGGTTAGATAGCTAACCAGAAATTAATAGAACAGGAAAGACAAACCTTTAGTTGATTGTTAAATGAGTCCATTTCGGATAGTTTAGATGCAGTTTCTTTTTCAAGAGCATCTAATTGTTCTTTAAGTCTTTGGCATAATTCTTCCTTTTCTAATGATTTCTTCTGAAGTAAACTGATCGCTGACTCTGAAACACAACATGAGACAACTTCCATTCAGCAGACATTCACTTTTACTGCCTGGTCAAATGGACTAGCTAGAAAAAGAAGGAGGCTTTACATGCGTATTACAGACCTGTGTTCACTCAGTGTACACTTCCCCTTCCCAAGCGAGAACCCTGGAAAGAACCTCGCAGAGAGATGGTTTCAGGCATGCCCATTGTACTGTGCTCCAGAGACTGCACTGTTCACTGTGCAGCTATGGGGCAACCCTACCTCACATTTTCCCAACAGCAGGTGCTCACATTGTGTCTCCGTGTCACATTCTGGTAAAATTTTACATTTCAAACTTTTCCATAATGTCACTGCACACTTAGTGGACTGCTCCCTCTCCCTGTCATCAAGTCCATTCCGACTCAGAGTGACCCAATAAGACACAGTAGAACTGCCCCTGCGGTCCTCTGAGGCTGTGAAACTTTATGGGAGCAGAAAGCCTCATCTTTCTCCCAAGGAGGGGCTCGTTTGTTTGAACCGCTGTCTTTTAGCTAGCAGCCCCTTATATAACACATGATAGTAACACATCTCCTTAGTATAGTAGACTATACTATATTGTAAACCTTTCTTATGTACTGGTAAAAAAAATATGTGGCTCATTTTATTTCCATATAAGTTTTACCGTGGTGGTCTGGAACTGAGCCCACAATATGATATCTCTGAAGTCTGTGGAAATAAGAATTAGCCTTACACACAAGCCCAGGATTTCAACTGAAGCTCCACGTTGGGCAAGGCACTTGACCAGTTTGATCTTGAGAGGTACCACACTCCCTGCCTCAAGAACATGAGATGATAGCTATAAAACTAGTTGCAGAGTTCAGCCCACAACCCCAGTACGTACCACTCAATGACGACTAGCTATTGGTATTGCCCTGGTGACTCAGCAGGGAAGTGTTCAGCTGCGATCAAAAGGTAGGCAGGGAGAAAGAAAAGGATGCCTGCTTCCACACAGACTGGCAGCCTCAGAAACCCCACAGAGCAGATCTGTTCTGACCGCCAGGACAGGTTCTTATAGTCGCTTTCTACTTAGTCACATGCCTCCAACTATAGGAATAACATTCACAGCAGTCTTAATAAATATTACGACCTGGATTGTTTAGTGGTACTTAATTTAGAAAGTAAAAAATGTTGTTTCCTTACCTATTCAGGTAGGGACAGTGAAAATAATGGGAGCCTATTACGCACATTACAACATATTAAAATACTGCTATCTAAATATGTATCTTTAACATAATGGTTTCAAAAATATAGGTGCCATATAAAATGTAAATAAAATGTAATTATATACCGTATACATTCAAGTATAAGCTGACCCAAATATCAGCCGAGACAACTAACTTTACCACAAAAACTACATTAAAAATGTGCTGAAAAACTCGACTTATACTCGAGTATATATGGTAAAGTGAAGGGTAAAAGGTCCATTTGTCCCTCCTCCCCTGTTATTCCCCTTATGCATTACATGTGCATGCATTTTAACTTTTTTTTCCCTTGGCGCTTTAATGGGGTCATGTTATCTACATTGCTTTGCAATTTATTTTCAATTTAGTAACACAATCAGGACATATAGACCTAGTTCATTCTTCAAAACTGCTCTATTTAACTATACACTTAACATTTTATGTGGTCTATGCTTAAATTACGTAAATAAAAATATATTAAGAATCGGAAGGTACGCCACAATTTTACTTAGACTGTTTTACTAAAATTTCTGTAGCATCTCTGATAAAGCAGTCTTTGTATTTTTTAAAAATTCATCACGATGCAATGCCACTTTTTAAAGTAACAAACGTTTTTTAGAGTCACTCCGAAAAGAATAAAAGAAAACAAACCTTAGAGACTTACCAGGAGTGTTACCAAGTTGCATGTTTTTAATTCTTTCATTTAATAATTGCTTCTCAGGTACCAAATAGATCAGCTTATTTTGATAATCCTTATAAAAAGAAAAAGTAGTACCTGATTAAATTCTGTAATCTTTACCAAAATTCTTGGAAAATTTATGACCTCGCCCAATCACTCTTGTAACCTAACATAGGAATATTATGTCATTGTAAAAGGCTTACAACTTAGAAATAGACTAAAAGGAAATTATATAGAATTTTATTATTATTTTTAAATCATTTTATTAGGGGCTCATACAACTCTTATCACAATCCATATATACATCAATTGTGTAAAACACATTTGTACATTCATTGCCTTCATCATTCTCAAAACATCTGCTCTCCACTTAAGCCCCTGGCATCAGTTCCTCACTTTTTCCCCTCCCTCCTTGTTCCCCGCCCCCACGACCGCTCATGAACCCTTAATAACTTATAAATTTTTATTTTGTCATATCTTACACTGTCCGACATCCCCCTTCACCCAATTTTCTGTTGTCTGTCCCCCAGGGAGGAGGTTATATGTAGATCCTTGTAATCAGTTCCCCCTTTTCACCCCACCCTCCCTCCACCCTCCTGGCATCGCGACTCACACCACTGGTCCTGAAGGTATCATCCACCCTGGATTCCCTGTGTTTCCAGTTCCTATCTGTACCAGTGTACATCCTCTGGTCTAGTCAAATTTATAAGGTAGAATAGGGATCATGATAGTAGGGGGTGGGGAGCATTTAGGAACTAGAGGAAAGTTGTATGTTTCATTGTTGCTACACTGAACCCTGACTGGCTCGTCTCCTCCCTGCGACCCTTCCACAAGGGGATGTCCAATTGCCTACAGATGGGCTTTGTGTCTGTACTCTGCACTCCCCCTCATTCACAATGATATGATTTTTGTTCTTTGATGCCTGATACCTGATCCCTTCGACACCTCGGGATCGCACAGGATGGTGTGCTTCTTCCAAGTGGGCTTTGTTGCTTCTCAGCTAGATGGCCGCTTGTTTAACTTCAAGCCTTTAAAACCCCAGATGCTATATCTTGTGATAGCCAGGCACCATCAGCTTTCTTCACCACATTTGCTTATGCACCCGGGATTTTAAATATAGATATTTAAACAAATCCATTTGCAAAAAGACTGGCTGAAATGAAAAGACAGTGATGACAGCACTGGTAACAGGGGTCCACTTAGAAAACTCATGATTCTCAGCATACAGATGGTCAGCAGATGAGTACCTCATCGGGATAAATGAGTGCTGCCCAAAGAGGAGCTACAAATAGGACAGCTAGGGAAGCAGGCTTAAATCAGACAGGAAATGCTATCTGGCCTCTCACTATATCTGCTGTGACAAAGTGAAGGCTGATTAACTGCCACTCCATATAAAAATCCATTAAGTCAGTTCTGAGTCATAGTGACTCTGTAACAGAGCAGAAGTGCTCCCATGGGCTTTGGAGACAGCACGTCTTTACGGGAGTAGAAAGCATCATCTTTCCCTAGAGGAGCAGCTGGTGGTTTCAAACTGCTGACCTAGTGGTTAGCAGCCCAACACACAGTCCACCACATCACCAGGGCTCCATATAGTAAGAAAAATGTGAGGAGGAGACTGCAGAATGCCTCCCGTGTCCCTATCCTGCAAGCAGTGACACGGAACCGGCTCTACAGTACAGATGAAGAACTGAGTATCAGCCCCGAGTGGGCTATACTCTACATCCTCACTACAATTCTGAGAGAATACTGTAAATTAAGATTGCCTAAAATTACACCACTTTTCACTTATTGACATGGTTAGGTTCCAAAGACCATGTGGTTATAAAAACAAACAAACAAACAAACCAGCACTGTATGGAAATGGAGGATAATTAAGTCATATCAAATGTTTGTCTAAGGGGGTGAGGAAAGAGCTGATACCAAAGGCTTAATAGAAAGTAAATGTCTAGAAAAGAATGAGGGTACCATATGTACAAACCTGCCTGATTCAATTGATGTATGGATTGTGATAACATTGTACAAGCCCCCAATAAAATGATTTAAAAAAATGTTTATCTAACTGCTAACCCCCTCAGAACCATGGCCCAGCCAAGTCGACAAATAACAATACATAACCTTAACTGTCACAACCAGCTTTGTTTTTGCCTGGCACTTGCCATTACTCTAGACATCCGTCATTTCTGTGCAAAATAGTTGAATAACATGTAGTCATTAAGTGAGGCGTAGATATGTTAGCAATAATTATTTTAATCTATAATTAAAATACACATTTTAATTAAAAACATAAAAAATGATAAACATCCTTTATGTATAAATATTAGGCAGAATTTACCAGATGTCTACAGAAAAATTTTAGGGAGTTGATAGGTTTCTCGGTTTTATATGTAAATTGTGTTTATTTGTATCCTTCTAGGGAGGAAGTCCATCAAACATTCAAGGGGTTCAGGACCCCAAAAGCGAAAAACGCATTCTATTAGGCAGAGGTGCTCATGACCGCACACCTCTAAAGACATTCAGCGGCAGAGGGCTAACCTGCAATTCTTGTTGGAGTTGCTTGATTTCCATAATGTTCAGATCACACTGTTTATCTAAAACTGCCAGCTCAGCCTTTTGCGTTTGTTTTCTGAGTCCAACATCCTGAAGTCGGCCTGAGAGCTGTTGATGTTTGCCATTCTACAGGAAGATCACATAAATATATTATAATGTAAACATGCCAAGAGGAAATGTTCATATCAGAATATTTCTATGTAGTCACATTTTTAAAAATGTCATTGCTTATTCATACTCAGTCTAAAACTAAACAATGTATTTTAGTTGGGTCGGTTAAACTGAAGATAGCTATTGAAAGAAACCACAATCATTCTCAAAGCACAAAAGCCAACATTTTAAGATGAGAAAGCAACAACCAAAAAGCACTGAATATTTTCCTGAACTCAGCATGAATAAGGCATATGTTGGCATTAATTTATAATATTAACACCAGCAACAATCTCTAAGAATGAGGGAAAATACTTGCCTATGATATTTAGAATTGTCTCCTTTGTTTTTTTTTTCATTTCTTTAATTTTATTGAGCTATAATTAAACATCATGCACTTCAATAGTTTAATCCTATCTAGAGAGCTTGAGCAATCATTACCACAGTCAACATTGGAGACTTTTCTTCCTGTTTTGTTCTTACTGGTGTTGACTCCCCTTCCCCCAGCTCCCCTTCCTTGCTCCCAGGCAATCGTTAATCCAGTTAGTCTACATAAAGCCACTCATCTCCGTTTCTCTATCCAGATAAACAGACAAAACAAGCGCAAACCACAGAGACTAGCAATAATGACCCTACCAGAGAAAGACTTCAATCTAAGAGAAAGCAGAGAATAGTAGAATAAATTCACAAGACATTGCATTCTAGCCTCAGTATAGCTGCTAAAACCCACTTTGTCCTTGTCTGATATCTGGGCTGTCTACGTGCCCTGGAGAGTCACTGGGGACCTGCAAATGGATTTTTGGCTATCACTAGCACCCACAGCTCAGTTTTTATTTCTAGCCTTAGTGTTGTCATCTAAAAACCAGACAAACTGCATCAACGGCAACTCACTGGGACTCAGTGAGACAGGGTCCATTTAACCCTGTGAGTTTCCGAGACTATAAATGTTTGTGCGAGTAGAAAGCCTCTTCTTTCTCCCCCTGTAAAGAAGCTGGGGGTTTTGAACTGCTGACCAGTTAGCAGCTGAACTCATAACCCACTATATGCCACCTTTTTAACCAATTTTGCTTGGTGGTATTACCTTTGTTCTTGAAGGGGGGGGAGGGGAAATCAGTCGTAAGGTCTACACTACTGTTACATTTTTAAGGAAAAAGATATCCAAATAAGAGGTTAAATTTTATAGGTCTGTTTTGCAGTTCTTTGAGTATGACTGTGATGTGCTTTCCTATGCATTTGAACATGTAAAACAGTACTTTGATTAAAGATAATGTGATAACTTTTTATTTATAAAATTCAAGTCAACAACCAAATAGAATATTAGGCTACATTTAAATAAGATTTATATTACATACCTATTTAAGTATTTTCATAAAATCCTACCAATAGTTGTAAAGAACGATTTGAGAAGAGACTTAGGGTCAGTCCTGGGGTGGTCTAGGGTGCTGGCTGAAAGCTCTGCCCTACTCAGGTCCTTTGTAATTTTTCACTTTGCATTTCAAACCAAATCTTTCAATGATTTGGTCTTTTGACATGACGTGTAAAAACTGGTTAAGTCTAGTTGCCAATGTTAGCTAACATCACAGACTGTAGAGAGCTGGAAGGAACTGAGATCAGTAGTTTTAGATGACTTTCTTTTTAACCGAACTCATCCCCCACCCCCAAAACAAATCTTAGATAAAACCCCAATCAAAATAAAGCGGGTAATGGGCGCTTCCTGCTATGAAGTAGGGGAGGAGAGTACACTGTCTTTCTGCCTTGGCTTTTCCCTTCTTTCACCTTTGAATTATCCTCTAAAGTCCATCTTCCAGAGACCAATTTGAAAATTAAATTACTGAGCTGCTGCATGTCTTTCTTTTAGAGAAGGTCAAAATGAGGCAAGGGTAAGGAAATGATTTGCCCAAGAGTGAATCAGCATCTGCTCTGAAACTACAGCCCAAACCTTAGCCCTTTGGACCCTATCCTTTTGCAACAAATGGAACTGTTCAGTTGGTTAAAGGTACACATGAAAATAGGACTATTGAATGATATGCAAACAATTTACTTATCAGATATTAGAAAACAATGACACTTGTTTCAACGGGTAATTCTCAACTTCTAAGATAAATTTGACTTGAACTTGGTCATACCAGTGCTTCCAACTCAAGGTGAAGACTCTTCTTTTTAGAGTTTAACCTGACAATTTCTTCCTGTTCTCTATTTCTTTGGTTGAGAAGTTCCTGTCGACGAATTCTCTCCCATTCTAAACGGCGCTGCCGTTCAAGTTCTTGTTTTGCTGCCTAAAAAGAATGAATAAAATCACCCGATAAATGTAAACATTTGCATCACTGATGAGCTGAGGGGGTAACAAACAGGCAGGCTGGCAGTTTTGTGCACTTAGTGGGTGTTAGCTCAGGAGGGTGACTGCAGGCAATGGAGAGCTCGGCTTGGCTGACCTCAGTTGAAAGTTCTAGTTGACCCAGAGGTGCCTGGGAAGAAGGGGCTGCAGCTCTACTTCCAAACAACCAGTTGCTGAAGGAAGACCCTCCAAGGCACAGCCCTACTCTGGCCAACATGGGGTGGCCATGAGCAGCTGGTCATTGTGGTGTTCATCAATGGAGCTCCATGAAAGACTGCCACGAGAGTGGGCTCAGCCATCAAACCTATTATTGTTCACAGAATCATCTTCTCCTGGCAGTTACTTTTAATAAGTAAAAGGATGGCATCACAAATATATATGTTCACAAAAATAATTATACTTTTATTCTGGTATTAGGGACGCCGAAAAGTTCCACTAGCACTATCAATGCCACCATAATGCGCTGTACCCTATCCCCAGTCCTCTGGAACACAACACTATTTATCCTCAAACGGAGTCAAAACCATCACCTTGATTCTTCTTAGTACCTCTGAACCCCACTCAAACTACCCTCGACTTCTCTTAGGACCTTTGGTCCCCACCCGTCTTCCTTTTTTTTTCCTTTCAATTCCATGACCCCTTAATCTGGGTCCTAAGCTTGCTGTCTTTAAGGACCTGCTGGGAATGACCCTCCTCTAGCTCACTCACCTTAATTCTTCCCTCAATTCAATGTTGTGACCCAGCCTCCTCTAAATTAAATGTACCTGAAAAGATACTTGCTTTACCAGTGACCAACCTGAAAACCTTCCACAAGCAAGGGCCCTTCTCCCTCATGATGGGAGGAAGAACCAGCCATTTCTAAGCAAGAGAAATGAAGTGATTTACTAAGTGTAATGTCTTTCTTAGGAAAAAATACGTTTTAATCACCTCTCGCCGCTCTATTTCTTTTCTCCTTTCTTCTTCGCGTAGTCGCTCCAGCTCCCGCTGTCTCTCCAGGCGCTTCTCTAAGTCGGCCTGCTTCTTCCACTCTTGTTCTTGCAGTTCTCTCTGTCTGCGCTCCCACTCCTCCTTTTCCTTCTGGGCTTTGCGCTCTGCCTCCCTCTGCTGCTGCTCCAGCAAGGCCTGGCGGCGCTTTTCCAGCTCCATGTTTCCCCGCTCATAGTTGGCTTTCCACTTGTCCTCAAAAGTAACTGAATGAGACAGAGTGTGTATGTTCCCACACATGAGGAACCAATAGGCTGCTCTTAACGCCCCGCATTTTGTGTCCATGTGGCTGCTATTACGTTTTAGATGCAACTCTTAAGGGTAATCTTAACTCAAAGGCAAAGAGGAAAATATTTACTTTTCAAACAAATATCTGAGTTTTGAGTCCATCCTAGTGAAACACTTTTAATATTGTTGCAAATAAAAATATGTCTCCTAATGTGGCTTGCAGAGGGCTACGGATGACAGTGGGAGCCCAAGATTCATTTAAGTTACATAGAAAATACGCCTCCCACGACCTCCTTCTTCCCACAAATAGGGGTGGGAGGGAAGTGGGTGCTGAACAGGGTGCATTGGAGAGTTGAGTGTAGAAGATCAAAGGCATAAATCTGACTTACACAGTTAAAACTTTGTCAGCTGATCTCCCCCACCCCCGCCACCCGGCCCCATGGGGGCATTCTGGACCTGATCTGGTTTCTAAAGTTTTCTGTATGTTTGGTTTGATTTTTGCTTGCTCATATTGAGGTGTTTCACAAAGGTGTTGTGTCATTGGGAGTCACCCTCTTGAAGCTGTGTTGCGTGTTTTTCTGTTTTTTGGTATATGGGACCCGGGATTGACGGACCTATGGCAACACCAGGTAGAATAAGGGTTACAGGGAGAGGGAGGAAAGTGGGGGAGGGTGAAAGTGGGTGAATGGGAGACGATGTCAAGGAATCTATGCAGAAGAGGCACGTTTGGAGGCTGAATGTGGTAGCAATTGTACAGTTCTGCAGGACATGATTGAAATAATATATGTATTAAATCCAATTAAAAACAAAAGAAAAAATGCTTAAAGATGACAGAAACAAAATCTTAATTATAGAAGAAACTTCAAAGTCTTTTACTATAGTACCACGATCACTTGAAGACTATACAGATTTGAGTAAATAAAAATTAGGAAAGCAAAAAAAAAAGTCTCCTTAGCATTTTCTTCAAGGACAACCAAGGATATGTAGCCATAGATTTATTTTATTTAATACATTTCATGAACTTGTTAGCATTTTAAGACTTATATACTTTTTCAAGCAGCATTTAAATGACGGTCAAAGCTGAAGATGCACTCACAAAACTTGCTCTAATTAGCCCATCTAAAGCGAGAGAAAGTCTAACTTGGACAGCTACTCTCATGCCAGACCACCAGACTGCCTCTTCTTCCTTCATATGGAGCTTTGTCATTACGACTATTTTAATCTTATGGCTGTCAATATCCAGTCCATCCATCAAAGAGTTTATCTGGCACAGCTAAAACACTTAAAACATCAACATTCAAGATGTTCATTTCCGTTTCACAGTTAAGAGAACTCATTATTATCACTCAGACATTCAATGGTACCTGGTAATTTTTTTTGCGGCTCCTCTTCTTGCATTTTCTGATAAGAAGGCAGAGTTCCATTAACGGAATCAACTTGCTTTCCTCCTCTAAAGAAATCACACAACAAACTTAGCAGCACACCGTCTGGGAATGTTCAGACAGACTACAGTCTGATTATAGTAACTTGATATTTAGAGATCCTTCAGATGGTATTTAAACGCAATCTTTACATTGTATAACAGCATGTGGTTTCTAAATCAGATAAAACTGGATTCAAATTGTGGTTCAGCTAATTATTGTTTGGGGCAAGCTTACTCTTAATCTCTATAATAATCAGTTTCCTTATCTATAAAATGGTAAAAACATACCTGCTTCTGCCATGAACTCCCTTCCGGTGTAACTAATTAAATACTAAAATCAAATGGCAGTGCAAATATTTAACTTTCCTCTGATCTAGAGCTGAGGCCTCAGGAAATTCTAAAGCAATCATTACATTCGCAAGGTGATCGAAGCCACACCTCTTCACCTCCAGATGCACTCACCTAAAAGAGGGAGGTACAAGCTCAGGAGGTAAGGTCAGCGGCAGAGGCTGTCCAGCTTTGGCCATGTCAGTGAGGTGCATCGCGAGGATGAACTCTTCAGCTTTTAGCTGCCCATCACCATCAATGTCAGCCAGAGTCCTAGAGGAAATATGAATATGCAGAACTTAGAAGAGAAGGAAAGATGATTTGCAATGAAATAGTATCAGAAGAGTTCAACATTTTATTTTTCAGATCAGAAAAATAATGATAAAACTATTGGGTTAACATTATTTTAGTGAAATGTAAATACATGCAGAAAAGTGAGTTAGCTTTTCTCCTTAATTTCTATATCACTAAGAATAGAGAAAAACAGTTTTCAAACAGAAAGGGAAGGACCTTCTCTGAGAAAGTAGCTTTTATTTTTCATGGTAAATTCACTATTAAGTTATATTCAGCTCTACATTAAAAATGAAACATTCTTTCCTCTGCAGAAAGCACTGCACAAAAGCAAACAACAATTTAACTGGTAACATAATGAAACACCAAATTCTCAAGAATAATATTTTGCAAAATTACATCTGCTTTCAAGGTCACATTAACTTTCAAAGAACCACTTTTTATGAAGCATCTTTGAGCCACAAACTTTTAAAGAAAGTAATGAGTTGGAATCAATTTCATCAGCGAATAAATAACAATGCATCTTCTTTGTAACTGAGGATGTAGAGTTAAATGGCAAACTCACCAAATAGTAGCTAGCTGAGTTTGAGAAAGATTGGACTGAAGAAGGGCATTTCTAGCTTGAAAACCTGATTGAATGGGAAAACCATACAGGAAAAAAAAAGACATTACTTTTAAGGCTGTGCAAATCTAAACAGCTGTTTCTAGAAGTTAGTACTGCTGCTATCCTGGGAATTTGTTTTTTAAATAAATTTTATTTTTTAGAGCAGTCCCCCCAACAAAAAAAAGGTGAGAAGTGTACAGACACCTCCTCACCCCCTACCTAATTTCCTCCACTACTACTGTCATATATTAGTGTGGGACATTTGGTACAAGTGATGAACCAGACTGACACATTACTTAAAACTAAAGCCCATAATTTACATTAAGTGTGTCTGTTGTGCAGCACTCTGGTTCTGCCAAATTCAGAATGTTATGCATCCACAATCATAGTACCAAGCAGAAAGCTTCCTGCCCTGAAAGTCCCGGCTCCACCAACGCATGCCTCCTGCGGCCTGGGCAACAACGCATCTTTCACCTTCTCTACAGTTCTGCCTTTTCAACAATGTCACATAATTGGAATCACGTGTATGACGCCCTTTCAAAGTGACTTCTTTCACTCAGAAATACGCATTTATGCTTCCTCCAAGTCTTTTCCTAGCTTGGTAGCACATATCTTTGTAGTGTATTTCTTGGCACATACATAAAATATTGTTTCATTGTATGATGTACCAGTTTGTTTATCCATCCGCCTATTGAAGGCTACCTTGTTTACTTCCACGTTTCGCCAGTTATAAATAAAGCTGCTATAATAAATTCTGTGTGCAGGTTTCTATGTAAACTTAGCATCATGACTGGTGGATCCAAAAGATGCTGCCAGATACATGGCATTTGATAGTAATCAAAACACAGTCCCTGCCCCAAGGAGTTTAGGATCTAGAATTAGTGGAATCAAATGCTCCCTTTCAGCCAGACAATGGTGTATGACAAATGACCGACATGAAGGATAATTCTACCAGGCACTATAAGCATTAGAGGCCCAGCTCTCAGGCCTTCTTACACCTCCAGTTCAATCTGAGGCACAGCATCCATAGAAGCTCTTCAGATTTTCTCTGTACTCTGACGGTGCTCGTTTCTACTTTTCTTCTCCTAAATGCTATGCTCCCCAAAGATCTGTCCTAGGTACTTTTCCTCTCTGCTCACATCCATTTCCATGACCTTGTACAGCATCTAGAGCAGTGGTTCTCAACCTTCCTCGTGCCGAGACCCTTTCATATAGTTCCTCACGTTGTGGTGACCCCAACCATAACATTATTGTCGTTGCTACTTCATAACTGTCATTTTGCTACTGCTATGAATCATAATGCAAATATCTGATATGCATGATGCAGTAAGCGACCCCCAAAGGGGTCGCAACCCACAGGTTGAGAACCGCTGATCTAGAGGCTGATGATTCCCAAATGCACACTCTCTGCCCAGAACTTTTGATTTCTATATCAAATGGAAAAATTTACATATATATCAAATGAAATATGTCTAAAATTTTTCTCTCAATTCCCATTTATGTCTCTCCCTAATTTTCACAAGTTTGTTCTCCTCTAATCTTCCCTTCCTTATGAATCACTTCCACACCGTTGCTCAAGCCAGAAACCAGAAATTCACCCTTGACCCCCTCTCTCTCATGTATGCCTGTTATACAACAGGAAGTCCAACAATTCTATCAATGCATGCCTGGGTCCCTCTCACCTGTCTCAATTTAATGTCACTTGCTCTGAAAGGCCTCATCTGTTCAATCTATCTTTCAATAGGCTCGTTTCCATTATATCTCATAAACAGTATGTACTATAACACTTACAGTTGCTGGGTGGTACGAAGTTAGATCACACATTCCGAAACTTATTTAGCCTACCACACCTTTATAGGAAAGAAACAAACTACTCGAGTCTTCTTGGCAATTAAAAAATTTTATACCGTAGCCCATAATCCAGGATAAAGTAAAGGTATCTGATTTTGTAGTTCCCTGCCCCACTCCACCAGCCTCTGCCTCATTATTCCAGCACCCCCTGGGGGGAGCCTCACCCCCTTTGGAAAACACAGAGTTTAGGAGCTCAGCTGGTATCTGAAAGGCTGGACTCCAGCGGTGGCTTAAAATGTACGGAGCACAGCTCTACTCTGAAGTACATGGGGTTGCCACTAGTCAGAATTAACTTGACAGCAACGGAGTTGGCTATTTTAATGTATCATTATTTACACCTCATTTTGTGTTACCCATACCATGCTAGTAATTTCTACAGAGACAAAAATCTTGACAGCTCCATTTACTAATGGGTATTCAATGTCTAGTACAAACCGAAAACCCACTACCACAGAGTCAGTTTTGACACACGGCAACCTTACAGGGCAAAATAGAGCAAACCCTATGGGTTTCTGAGGCCATAACTCCATGGGAATAGACAGATCTCCTCTTTCTCCTGCAGAGCGGCTGGTGATTCGGAACTGTTGGCCTTTTAGTTAGCAGCCCAACTCAGTAACCCATTGCACCACCAGGGCTCCTAGCCTAGTACATAGATGCTCATAAATATCTACGAAAGTAATCAGAGATTGTAGTTCATTACATGAAGGCTTCTGATAACTTACCCCAGTCAATGCTATCAAGTTGATTCCGACTCACAGCGCCCCTATAAGACAGTACAATTGCTCCCAAGGGCTTCCTAAGGTTTCTGAGACTGTAAATCATTAAGAGACATTATCAGACAGCCTCATCTTTTTCCCCTGGGTGGGCTAGTGGGTTTGAACCACTGACCTTGAAGTCAGCAGTCCAAAGCTTAACTTACAGCACCACTGGGACTCCTGATAATAAAACCCAACATGTATAGACTGCTTACTATGTGCTAATGCTCAACTTCGCTCACTTTCTGTAGCATGTTTGATTCGCGTATGCCAGCTTGGCGAGTTAGCCTTTGGCTTCATGACCCACAAATGAAATCACCTTTCTTCTCTAAGGATGTTGCTTAGCCAGTTAAGCAGGTACTGCACCTCCCACCTCTGGTGTGGGAAAAAATTAAAGAAGATTGAGCTCCTACTCGAGTCCAGTCCGAGTCACGGCCTATGCAAAACACATCTGCACACCAGACAGTGCGTCTACCAACCGTTCCTCAGCAAGCAGGAAGGCAGCTCAGTCCCGAGTTTCACTGAGCTTTGAACACAGAGGGCTTGATGATCAGAGCTGCACGCACTACATGGAACAAACAAGATGTCATATATTGTAACATGTAGTCGAATGTTTAAATTATACTGCTTTTAATCTTCACTCGTCTAATTTTCTCATCTGGCCATGTAGTAGAAATTACATAAAGGGGGGGAAAACTGGAAGGACTTTATAATCTCATCCAACTAATCTTTCGTGGAATTCTCAAAAAGTTTGAGATTTGAGGAGGTCTGTAGGATAAAAAGGAGCCCTGGTGGCACAGTGGGTAATGCAAAAGGCTGCTAAGCACAAGGTCAGCAGTTTGAACTCATTAGCCACTCTGAGGGAGAAAGATGAGGCTTTCTGCTCCTATAAAGGTTTACATCCTCAGATACCCACAGAGGCAGTTCTACCCTGTCCTATAAGGTCACTGTAAGTCAGCATCAATATGATAGCAGTGGGTGAGCATTTTACAAAAGAGCCTTATTTGACACAGTGGTTAAGGGCCGGGCTCCTAACCAAAAGCCAGCAGGTGGAACCCTCCAGCTGCTCCATGGGAGGAAGACGTGGCAGTGTGCTCCTGTCAAGATCTGCAGCCATGGAAACACGATGGGGCAGCCTACTGTCTCCTTTGTCATGAGTCGGGATCGACTCAACAGCAGTGGGCTTGGTTTTGTGTTAAATGTAGTATTCGTCTAATGAAAGAGGAAGGGAAGGCTACTTCCGCTTAAAGGGGGTTCAATAATTAATGAATTTAGCATTCTAGCAAACAGGAGAAATCAGAGGTGGAATGTAAATGGCTACGAGGCCACATGGAGGGTGTTAGACGTGTGCAGGCCACGTCTGAATACTACAAAGGACTGCAGAAAGCCAGCAGAGCCCTTGAGTAAGGAAAGCCCAGTGCAATTTGTGGCCCTCTTGGTCTACCATTCCTTCAGCTATCCTGTTCCTCTGCCAGGGATGTCAGGTCCTTCCTTCTTTGCCTGGCTGTTTATTTACTCTCTTGGATCCAGCTCCAATGTCATCTCCTCTGGGAAACCTCTCTTGTATCTTCAGAGCTAGTCACTTCCTCATCTATATTAATTACAGACCTCTTAAAGCATTAATCAATGACTATGATTATGTGAGCTACAATAGGAGCTATTCAGAGGTACAGACGATGTCCTGCCCTCTTTGTATTCTAGTGCCTGGCAGTGTACACAGAAAGTACTCCAGCTCAAGCTACATGTGAGTCAACGAATCCATTCAAGAAAGTCAATAATGGAAGAGGAGGAAAAAGGAAAAAAATTAGACCAACTGCTATATTCATTGGGCAGAGCATAAATATGCGAGTCTATACATATCTGGGGCTCATACTCAGATCCAAAAGATTATAAATAACTACTGTTTTCAAAGAAAGGGTTATATATAAGCTACGACTTTGGCCTTGTAAGTCTTAGAAAAAATAATATTCTCTACAAACAACCCACGACACATACAAGGGATCGCTTCCTCATAGTCAGGGTCCCTGAGGCTCCTGGAAAGCAAAAGTAGCTTTCACTTGGCTGCTAACCTAAAAGGTGGCAGTTTGAACCTAGACAGCGGTGCCATGGAAGAAAAGGCCTAGTGGTCTCCTCACACACGATTACAGCCAAGTAAACCCCTATGGAGAGAGCTAGTCTATAACACTTTGGTTAGCTCACTGGGAGTTAGAATCAACTTGATGGAAGTGGGTGTGGGGTCCCCATTGCCCTCCATGTCCTAACACAAAACCATCTTTGCTTTGCTTAAACTCTATGTTATCAGTAAAACACATAAACGTACTAATCTTAACTAACACCCACAGGAAGGTATAGAATGCTTCTATCATACCAGAAAGGTTTTTGCAGTAAAATAGCCACAAAAAGTGATTTCTATTAAGATCAATTAGGTTTTCCTGTTCAACAGTCATATAAAAGAATTTAAGAGTACATATTTTTTATGCTTTGTTTCTTTCATTCAATACAATATTTGTAAGATTCATCCATGTTGTTGTATGTACCAGCAGTTCTTTTTAATTGCTGTGTTTTCTTCTATGGGTGTACCATACTTTACCCATTTAACTGCTGATGGATATTTAGGTTTTTGCTATTTTGGGCTGCTATGAATGAATTTGTCATGAATATTTCTAGACAGTTCTTCTTAACCTACTTTTGCTAATTTGAAAAAGAACTTCTTTATTGAAAACTGTAAGGCCCAAACAAGTTCATGTTTTCAAACACTGGTAATTGTGGCCTTACCATTCACCACAAGGAAGTTTTAATACCATATTTCACAGATCCTAAGATGTTACCAACTATAGCATACTCTTAATTTATGTAACACTTTAAAAAAAATTATGTAACACTGACAATGGAAAAAAACAACCACTGGCAACAAAACTATGATAGAGTGCTAAAACACTACTGATTATAATACATATCTCAATTTCGGATATTAAAAAAAAATTTTAAATATGACTTAACAATATAATATACCCTGTTTCACATAATTTGATTTAAATGTTACAGAAAATGGAGTTGTTATATAATGTTTGATATCTTAAACATATGCATAATGTGTATGGAGTACAATAATGAATTAGTCACCCATGAACTTTCCCCCACCTTATCATGACTAACCCTCAAAGCTGCTTGTGTTTCCAAAGTGTTATTTTTGTTTGCCAGTTGTTTCTAAGTCCATTTGCCCTAACCCTACTCCTTACCGCCAGCCCCTTCCTGCTGTTCACTGACATTTCCTTCTTCAAACACAGGCTTGCACTCTTGCTCCTGGGTATCTTCTCTGACCCTCCACACCCTCACCCTTGAATCTTTACCTTTTCAAATCTCTTTCATGAGGGCTCTTAAATGCTTCCCCCCTGTAACACTTTCATCTGCTCTCTTCAGTGTTTCCTCCTCCCATTCTATATTCCCCATCACATTAAAAATCTCGATTATTTTAAAACATTTATTTCACTCTGTCCTAAATCATAATTCATTGCTGAGTAAAGAAGGAGGGGGAGAATTAAGAGGCAGGAACTCTACTTGCCTACTATTTTCCGTTTATATGCCCTCTGTAGTACTATAACAACTAGCATTTGGATAATGTTCTAGCCTGGGCTCAAAGGTCCTACAGAGAATTAAGGTCAAGTCCCATGGTCACATTTTGGTTGTAGCATAACACAGTGAGCAATGCTCTCTCAAGGTTTAGCAAGGCCAATCAGAGAAACGGCAAAACCCCTTCCTTGAGAAGGAACAGTGAGCTGAAGCTAGGCTGCACATACACGCCTTGTCATCAAGGTTTTCCATTCACTGCAAAGCTTAGGGGACGAGGATTGATCTCAAGGGAGAGGTCCCTTTTCCAAAATGTTTGGTGTATATGCAGGTGCTCAACCTGATCATAACAACTCTGAAGAAGGCATTCAAATAGGGTTCAATCTTTGAACTCATACATAACTGAACAACATTTGTATCTACTGAATGAATGCCTGCTAATTTTTCTGGATGCTAAAACATTCGATTTTTACACAGTATAAATTCAAATAAAGGTTCTTCAACAGAGTCCATTTAAGAAAACCTTCTCTCTCTCAAACACTGTGTGCCACTTACCTGAGAGATAACCACTCATGCTTTTGTCGAGACTATTAAATTTTTGCCGATATTTTAATCTTGAAGGCTGAGGAACTGCCCATTCTGAGGTTCCAGTCTTGGGCGAGTTCCCCGAGAGTGAAGCGGTTGAGGAAGTTGAACTAAAACAAATTTAAAATCTTTATGTAACTAAAGAAAATAGTTAAGCCTTATAAAGCAAAGATATCAAAAATCCACCTTACATAATACAACAAAAAAATGTTTTTGTATTTGACAGAAAAATACTATTATCCTATTCTTTTAAGATTATTGCTATTGTGGTTTGGGTAAACATTTGCAGAACAAATTAGGTTTCCAATCAACAAGTTGTACATAGTTTGTTTTGTGACATTAATTGGATTTCTCTTGTTCTTAATAAACCAAATACCCACATCAAGCCTAAAACATGACAGGAATGCCACACATCAAGAACGCCCTATCTCCAGGCCCTGGAGATTGTGCTGGAGCCTTTACAAATACCATTTTTAATCCTCACAACACACGTAAAAGGAATTACTGTCCGCATAGTGCTAACAGGTAAATTATGACCCAGTGGTGCTAGGAAAGCTTGGACAAGGTCACACGGTCAGTCAGTGAATGTTTAACTTGGGTCATGAACGGTGTTTGTCTCGGTCAAAGCGAACACTCTTTGTAGATTATTACAAAGTGATTTGTGTAGTGCAGTGATTTGTATAATGAGCTATGAATAAACACTTTCGTGAACTCTGAAAGATACCTAATATACAGAATTTTTCAAAAAAGAAATGAACCCTTATGTGCATTTTATTAGTTAATTTACCTAAGGTGCTTATATTTGGCCATTGTAAAGTAAAGTTCAGGTAATCTCAGAATTTTGAAAAAGAGTCATTTGCTAAAACATACACTCAACAACTGTAGTCGTGAAAGCTTGGGAGCCTCCAAGGTGCATCTACCAGTCTCTCACCGTCTGGGGCAAAGAAGAATGATGAAAATCAAAAGACAAATGGAAGCATTCAGCTCAAGGAGCTGAACGAACCACACAAACAGCAGCCTCCACAAGCTTGAGACCAGAAGAACGAGATGGTATGCAGTTTCCACTACCACCTTCTCTGACAAGAATCACAGAACAATGTCTTGGATGGAATAGGATGGGAAAAATGGAACACAATCCAAAATCATTAAGAGACCAGGGTTTCTGGTCAAACAGACTAGTGGAACCCCCAAGACTATGGCCCTTGGTTACCCTTCAAGTGGCGAATAACCCATCATTTAAGATCAAAGGGGCAGCATTTACACAAGGACAAACCTCAGGTTTAGGAAAGAAGGGATGGAGACAGGAACTACAGAGGAAAAGTGGGGTGAGTGATGGTACATTGAAGAGATTTCAGTGAATGAGTAGAAACAAAATGTGTATGACTTGCTGAATATACAGCTGATGATCACCTAATTCACAATGAAAAGTTATATATACACAAACACATCCACATAGCCTCTTACTGAAGGAAAATAATGGAAATCTTAACACACATACCTGCTAGATCCTAAATCAATCAGGGACTGAGCCTTCTGTATACTAGCACCACCAAATCCTCCCATCATCAGACTGTAAGATGACGTATGAGGCAATGCTGGGGGCGGGGGAATGACAGAGAAGAAAAGCTTAGTAATATCACAAAGTAGGAAAGAAATGTGTATCTATTTGGATGGTTTTGGTTTTCAGATGAAATACTAATTTGTGAGACATAAAGTACTTACTTGAAGAAGAATAAGGAATGGTTAAAGGCTGGATGAGACTGGCGGTTCCATTTGGTAATGATGATGTGCTAACAGAAGGCATCATCAGAGGAGGAAGAGTGGTCCCTGAAGTCGCAGAGGACAAGGGTGTTATTGGTGCCACTGGAGGCAATGACTGAGGAACAGACAGATTGGGCATGCTTCCCATTCCTAAAAATAAAGCAGAACACATTTTCCAATGTTGGTAAAGCAATTCTAAAACAAATGCAAGAAAATAAGCTTATAGTACAGTGAGCAGCAACCCAAATTTATGAAAACCTTGTGGGGTTATAAATGCTCTACTCTTAAAAATGCCCTAAAGCAGTTTTGACCCTGATATGAGGTAAACCTTTTAATATCAATATTATGATCTCTGTGAACCAATATAATGTCTAAGGAGTTGGAAATTCTCTTTTCTTAGCATGAATAAAATTAAGCAGTCTTTTCCAATTAAAGATTGATGTCCTCAAAGAAAATGTTATTATATGATCAAAGGTGGAATTTTATGAGGATAACAGATACTAAGCCAGTTGCTAAGCCAGTCTGTGTGTGTGTGTGTGTGTGTGTGCGCACGCGTGCCTGTACACATATATCATGCACACCAATTTTTTAAAAAGATATTCTAATTACGTTAAGAGACTTATTTATGAATATACATGTGAAAATAAAATGTGCCACAAACGTTTTGTATTTCTTGAAAGGTATGAATTCAAAGACATCTATTTCAAAGAAACAGACATACGCTTTCTGTTCTTTTCGTAGCTGCAGAATACTATGCATAGCACATAAGCAGGTCACGTTTGATCTGGTATTTGTCCCCAGAGAGTTCACTGTAACTGTGAAATAATTAAATATTTTAAGATTTAACAGCTGGAGTGAAGGAACATATTTCGGTTTCAGAGAGATACCTAACTGAATGTTCCATTCAAAATGAGTGTGCCTCATAGATAATTAATAAGAAATTGACTAAACAAATTAATGGGAAAAAATACCAACTGGCTGACTGACTGAGTACCATATGTAAAAAGTCAGTAACTTTTAGTCCTTATTTTCACTGGCCAATTAACCTTTAACTTTAAAATTTTTCTATTTATAAATACAGATACACCTCAGAGACATTGCAGGTTCAATTCCAGACCACCACATAAAAGTGTGACACATTCTCGTTCATTTCCCAGTGTATTTGCTATGTTTACACTATCTGGTGGTGTTGTGAAGAGTGCTGATGGTGCAGTGCTAGCATGTTGGGCTACAATCTGCAAGGCCAGTAGTTTGACACCACCACCTGCTCAGAGGGAGAAAGATGAGGCTTTCTACTCCTATAAAGAGTTACAGTCTCGGAAATCCACACAAGCAGTTCTACCCTGTCCTGTAGAGTCACTATGAGTCAGAATCGACTCGATGGCAGTGAATGAGTTAATGGTGCAGTCAGGCATAAGACTGCTAACCGCACGGTCAGCAGTTCAATGCACCAGCTTCTCTATACAGGGAGGCTAGGAATCACAATTGGCTTGATGACAATGGGTGGGGAAGGTAGTCTGTAAGCGTGCATTTTACGAAAAGTTTGATGTACTATAAGAATCACCAAAATGTAACAAAGAACACAAAGTGAGTACGCACTGTTGGCAAAATGGCACTGATTGACCCAGAGTTGCCGTTCAATTGATTAAAAAAAACAATATGTATGAAGTGCAACGAAATGAGGTATACCTGCAATTTAAAATTACTTCCCAAATTAAATCATTTAAGGTTAGTTTAAAATACTTCGAATGGCTCCTAATATCATTCATACAGAACATGGAGAAAAATAACTAAGAATTCCTTCTGGATCAGCTATGTCGAAGGCGACGATATAACTGATCACTCAGGCAGGAGCAGTGAAAGATGACAGACCAGCTGCCAGGACAGCAGGCAGTGTACCGACATGACAGAGCTGTCCCTGGAAAGGAGCCCTGGACAGAGTGGTTAGGGTTAGACTGCGAAGCACAGGTCAGTGATTAGAAACCACCAGCCACTCCTCGGGAGAAACAGCAGGCTTTCTGCGCCTGGCAAGAGTGACCGTCTTGGAAGCTCTCAAGGGCAGGTCTACTCGGTCCTACAAGGTCACTAAGAGTTGGCATCGAGTTTTGATTTTTGAGTCCCTAGAAAACTTGGACCCACGGATACCGTAGTGGTAAGAGAGACTTAAATGTTTCTCTGATTTCACACATGAAAACGAACTGGGAGTCCGTGTTGCCATTTTGCGCTAACAAATAACTTCCTAATCTCCAAATATTATTCCTAGAAAGCTTCACTACCAAGTGAAAGTAAATAAAAGTAATAAATAACATACCAAAACGAGCAGAAATTAAGGGGGAGAACATAGGGGGCTGCTTCATCACAGGAGGGAGAACCACGGGCAACGGTTGACCTTGAAGCTTTAGCTTGATGAGTTTCATAGCTATGGAGAACTCCTGCTGATCCATTTTCCCATCCTTGTTCAGGTCTGATAAAGCCCTAAAGGGGTAAAGGAAGTGGGTAGGTTGGTATGTGGGGTGATGGTTAACAAAGCCCACATGACGTTTGGGGTTCATAAAAGAAAGGGATGACAGAGCGTTCCCATGCAATTCATCAAGTTGTTAAACAAAAATCCATATGTGTGCAGACTCATACACAGTCAGACTCTTAGAAGAGTGACGAAAGGCTAAAACCAGCACATTAAGAAATACTGAACAAAGATGATATCTACTAAAACACTGCCAGTCTACTACATAGACATGGAAACCTTTGGGATGAATTCCACCAGTTTGAATAGAAGGCATTATTCAAAAGTGTAATAATTCTAAATTTACTATCTTTTTAAAACTATTCTTTTTCTTTTATTGCTTTTGTTTCTTTTTGAGTCTTTTCCCCCAAAACCATTTTATTGGAAGCTAATACAGATATATCATTCCACAGTTTAATCACATCAAGCAGTCTAGTTTATTTAAATACTGGTTGAATACATGTTCTGTTCCTGGCATTTTGCCAGGAAAGGGGGCATTTCACATGTAAGACAAATAAAACAGAGACAGTTATTTATTGGGACTATATTAAAAAATAAAACCTCAGATATTATAGAGATTAATTTTTAAGGTAGGAGCCAGAGAAGAAAGGGATAGATTTACAAATTGTATAGAGATGATAAAATACATGAAACAACTACAATGTAACGGAGAGATTTTTAAATTCTACTTAATTATAAAGAAATGCTATTGCATGGATATGCATATACCTTCTTTCCTTAGAAAAGCTATAGTTATTAGAAATTTGGTCTATAGAACAAAACTCCAATATTTTCATTCATTTACTCTATAAAATTTATTTTTCAAAAAATGCTCTTAAGAACAATGGATTGACATTGGAGACAGGGCATGGTGCCCCAACAGGCTAGACTGGAAAACACAAGTTTTTCTTGCTTGGTATATTTTAATTTGTTCTTCGTCAGT